TATGACTTTCTAGGGACATTCTGACTGGTAAGGGAGGAACTGGTAAGGGGAGAACACCTCAAGTGAGCATGCGTACAATTCCAGTAAACACATTGTGCCTGCTCCCCTCCCAAGTGCTGGCAGGCCACTGCACATGTGGATAGCCCACCCCAAGAGAAGAATGAGAGGAGAAGGGACGCAGTCCCCCAGGAGCATGCCAACATATAACACCCGAAGTCAAAGGTAAATCACGTACTTGATTTCTCAATTCACCCACTTGGCACTCTTCCGAGTGTACTTTACTTCCTTTCGTTGCTGTACTAAACTTTTTAATAAACTTTCACTCCTGCTCTAAAACTTGCCTCGGTCTCTCCTTCTGCCTTATGCCCCTCAGTTGAATTCTTTCTTCTGAGGAGGCAAGAATTGAGGTTGCTGCAGACCCATGTGGATTCACCACCAGTAACAACACAACTGTCTCTCAGTACTGCCTATTGTTTAACTCAAAGACAAATATATCTTGTGTATTTGCCGTGTGCCAGACAATGTCTAGGGACTGAGATACATCTATGAATAAAACAGATTACCACCCTGTTCATTGCGTCTGTTTCAAGGCCACCTCGTCCGATTTCCAGCCAGTGAAACTCCTGCTGTAGGGCTCTCACCTCTGTTTCCTTGGTACAGGCCTGAAGCCCCAAGATAGGCCAAGTCAGTTTCCCACAAGGGCAAATGCGCAGTGAGATTACCAATACCGCTTGAGCCTTCCTTGGGCATTCTCACTTTTATTTTGTCTTGTTTTTATGTTTGCAATATGTAAATCAATTACCAGTGCATCTTGCAAGTGGGTTATGCCCAGTCGCAAATCGACTGTTACTCTGCAGACTTGACAATTCCACCAGCTATAGGCATAATTGTGGTGACAAGTTGGAATTTGCATATTAGCAGCCATCAGAGTACTGCTTCGCGGTGAACCCAAATGAGAATTCCAGCCCCCTCCAGGCTATTATTACAGGCACCCAATACCACTAGCCCATTCAAAAACATATGCCTTCATTAAGGTCTCCCCTTTACCTCATTGTTATGCAAATCATCCAAATGAAGGAGTCTAAAAAGTGCTGGAGAGGTGATGGAAGAGCATCTTAAATAAGTAACAAGTCTATCTTCCAGGCATTCCTTGATTACTTGGGAGTTATAGCAAAATACACCAGGCTTCAGCCAATGGGAACTTGCTGACAATGAATTACCTTTGAATACCCTCCAGTTATGTGAGAAACTCCCTTTTGCTACTTATGTAAATTCCCTGTGGGTTTTTTCCCCCCACTTTTCCTTCAGGAGCAGAGGTGGGAGGGAAGAACTGAGGCGAGGAAGGTGTGGCCAGCTGCAAATATTCAAACTAATTAGCCAAGGGCAGTGGTGCAGGCTTCTGGGCTGTGTCAGGACAGGGTGGACCTGCATGCGTAATAATAGGAGCCTAACGGGTTCCACCCCTAAAGATGTATGATGGAAAGACGGCATGAATAATTCAGCAAGCACGAGGTCCCGAACCCACGTTTTCTCTCATAAAGAGGAAAGCCACAAGCCTCAGGTACCAAGTTTCAAACCTATCAGGGCTTAATCTCCTCCTTTCAGAGCTTTGTAACTAAGTGCTGTGTAGGTGTGAAAAGCCTTATTACCATGTAATTTTGTTGGGAACAGACTTCCAAGTACCTGCTTTACTTTATATTCACATACACAAAAAAGATCAAATGCATTTTATTTCCTAACAATAGCCAATTTGGCTATAATTATAGTAAAATACTGAATTTTAAGGCACGGCACCCAAGTGACTCCCCACGTCGCTCCCCTCCACACATGAATATCTTCTTATTTATTGCCTTTCCCATAATGAACTTTGAGATAAACAACAGAAAAAGTAATTTGTTTTTTGACAATGCTGAACCTTTGAATAGAGAAAATCACACAGTTGAACACAGAGCGCAGTCCTGTGTGGTAAGTGGTATCCATGGCAACCAATAGATTTTATGCTAAGTCTGGCCTTTAAAAACATTTCACGTTTACCACTGAGAAAAAGATGGCCTTGATTTAAAAATGATACAACAAGTACCTTGAATGGGCATGCTTTCTGCTCTGCGCTGCAAACACAATTAGGAGGCATCTCTTCAGCACCGGATCACCTCAATAGTATCTGTGTCATCCTTGACGTACATCGTGGCCGGCTTGGAAAAGGAAAAGGTTGGATGTTTTGTACTTTGCGGCAGGGGCCAAGGCAGTTTGTTTTTCACTTGTTCTCCTTGTATTTAACACCAGGAGTAAAAAATAGGGAGTAAAAATAGCATGTTGGCCTCTTATCTTAGTCTGTGATCATGGTGACAGTGAAAATATTATGGCCTGCTTCTCTTGGGAGCAACACCAATCACACTGGCTTATTACAACTTGAAATAATGGATGGAGAAATACCTTCCATACCAGCTTCAGATGGAGCACCCTAAATTAGTTTCTGTTCACATTTAGAAAGTTGGGTACCAAAAATGGAATGCAGTTGTGGCAAAGAGAGGATGTTGCTTTAATGGTATCTTTGAATAAAATGAGAAAGGAGAAGCCCCCTTTTTCTTTTATAAAGAAAAAAAGAAAAAGAGACAGAGATTTGATCTGTGCTGCACCAAAGGAAGGAAATGAAATTAACGTCCTCGAAAGGAGTTTGTTTTGCTGAGCTGTTTTTCAGTTCTTTGATAGCTTCCTTTCTAAGGTGGCAATTCTGTTTCCTTTTGCAAAGAGTGTTATATTTATTCCTCAAAATGGGATTATTTTGGCCACATCAAGAGTTAGAGAAACTCCTCAATGTACTTCCTTTGTAGATATTTTTCAGCTGGAGTGCTTCTGCAATCAATTGATGTTATGGGCTGAACTATATCCTCCCTAAATTCTCCCCCAGAACCCTAACTCCCACTTCTTCAATGTGACTATTTGGAGACAGGACCTTTAAGGGAGTGATTATGTTAAAATGAGGCCATGAGGGTGGGCTCTAATTCAATCTGACTGGAGTCATAAGAAGAGAAAATTTGAATGCACAGAGACAGCAGGGATGTGTGTGTGCACAGAGGAAAGACCATATGAGGACCCAGTAAGAAGGCAGCCGTCCGCAAGCCAAGGAATGAGGCCTCAGAAGAAATCCCATCTGCCAACACATTGATCTTGGACTTTCAGTCTCCAGAACTGTGAGAAGATAAATTCCTGTTGTGTAAGCCACCCAGTCTCTAGAATTTTGTTACGGCAGCCTAGGCAAACGAATATAACTGGAGTGGGAGCGGGATATCCCTTTACAGAAAAGACAGCTTCTCAGAAGGCGTGTTGGTCAGGACACCGGAGAAGAGAGCTCAAGTTTAAAGAGAGAAAGCATTTGGCTGCTCTGTCTTCCCTAAGGTATGGTTTTTTGGGGATGTGGGGTCTATTTTGTAAACACCTCTCCTACCTCCTCTGAATCACCTATTCATAATTGCCAGTGGCAAACAGGACTGATTTACAACTCCTCACTGTTGGTTTTGATGAATCAAGGATAATTTCTGAGTCATCAACATTTTATAAAGAGGAAAGTTAACATTTCCTTCATACCACCAAATACCTGAGAGATGACATAGACCCAGGAGGGTAGTGATGCTAGAAAGGAATGGGGAGGGAGGAGGTGCTGCACTTGGTTCCTCACATCCATAAGCTTTACTTGATGCCTGGGACTTGGGCCCAGGACCACACATCAGCCACCTGCCCAAAGGCACAAGCCATTCATCTTTCCAAGATAATTTTCTCCCTTCAGCCCATAGAGAGCTCTGGGCTATCTTTGGCCAGGGAAAGAAAGTTGACCGTTTCACGCAGTAAAACATAAATCACTCTCTTTAGGCCTTGTTAACTTTTACTTATAAACTGTTTTAATGTAGAACTGTCAGGACCCTGTGAAAATAATGGCTGGTGACAGGTTTAGGATTAAAATCTTCTCAGGTAGTTAGGATGGTGAGTTAGGTTATAAATTGCTTTTAAAGAGCTGAGGTGTGGACTATGGGCTTCATATGCTTACTTCAAATGGACACCAATGAGCCATCTGGGATAAGTATATGCTAGTAATACATCTTAATTATTTGTCAGCAAAGCCATCTTAATAAGAGATGTCTTTCATTTTAATTAAAATCACCCTTGGTAATCTCTAAAGACTGAAAAAACTCCATTGAAAGGGAGAAGCTGAGTCTTCTAGGGCTTGGGATTTTATGTCTCAAGCAAGGAGAACTGACTCAGAAAAATGGATCAACCAATGTAAAGAAATAGTTCAAGTGTCCAATTATACGGATGAGTCAGTAATTCTCAGATGACCTTGTTTGCTTCAGTGCCAGGGCATCAATGGGCTCATGATTTCTCTCAAAGCTGATCCTATCTCAGGGCTTGTTGGACAGGCATGGCTGTGTACCCACAGGGAAGCAGGGTTCGAGGAAGGGCCAGGACATGCTATGATACCCCAGAGAGGAGGCAGATGCTACTGAGCATCGTTTGTGGAATATGGAAGTTCAATGGGTTGGCAAAGCAAACAGCAGCTATCTCTAGCCTTAGGGAAGCAAATGGTGTTCTCAGGAGACTAAGAAGAATGGATTTCCACCATGTGCATGAAGCTCAAATGGGCATCTGGGCAAGACTGGGCTGAGTCCTGGGTTGGAGAGAGGAGCAGACCTGTACTTTTCAGAGCTCAGGCCCACGGGTTCAATGATCCCATTCCTCCCAGGAAGCACTTCTCAGTGCTTGGGGAACACACTGGGGCATGATAGTCACACAGAGGCACTCCTGAGAGGTCAGACTGCCAGGACTATTCATTCATTCATTCAACAGTTATTATATTCCTACTGTGTGCCAGCACAAATCAAAGGCCTGGGGTACTTCCATGAATAAAACCAAATAAAATCCATCTCTGCATGAACTTACATTCTGGGGTGGTCAGTTACTCCGTATCAAGCAATTCTCATCCATCCGATGGGACCAAGGCTACTTACATGGTTTGTTCCTTGACACCAGAGCAGCCTGGGAAGGGCAGCTGCAGGCATCTGGGAAAGCTCCTGCCAGGAACTGAGGCAGGGGATTGGCTGCCCCATTCAGTGCCACAACCTGTTCTGGGTAGAGAAGCCTTTCTGTGGTGTGGAGAAGCTCTACAATTCAATAGCAATTCACTAAGATGTTTCTGACTTTTAAAACATGTAACTATAGTTACAGGGCTTTGGAGAACCATCTGCTAGACTTTAATTTGCTTCTTAGGATTGAGAGGATCATAAATCATGCAATAACACATTCAGGAATATTCTTTCCTCCATATTTGCAGCTTAAAAAAATCAAATGCAGTATTAACCTATCTGAGCATTCTGTTCTTGATGAATTCCTCTCCCATGACCTCTCATGGATGGTCAGGAACAAAATGGACCCTCACTTGTATAATGTACAGTGTTACTAATATGATATACTATATTCAAATATAAAATAGTAAAAATACCTTTCCATAAGAATTTTAAATATTTTTTTACTATTAAATTTATAAGACTATTTCCATGTGATTCTAAAGGGTCATTAGCAGATGCCCAGACCCACAATTGAAGGACCTACAGGATGAACATCTAAAGCCTATGGGGAAAATTATGTAAGAAAGATTAGGCTTTCTAACAATTTCTAATAATAAAGATTAGGCTTTCCAAATAATGTAGTTATCTAGGAAAGAAGGGGTCTTATAGGTAAAAGGAGTCAAATGAGACATTGTCCTGAGTTAGAAGCTTGAAATCCAAGGTCTGGGAAGGCTAGGTCAATCAGGACTTTCTGACCTCAGAGATCTGAGATTCCTGAATCAGGTCCATTGATTCAGACTACGTCTCTTAGGAAAGTCACTAAACCAACACTATAAAATTTGCAGGAAAAAAGCTTGGGATGGGGGAGGCATTCAACTAATACATTCTGGTTTATTTTTAAGATATATTTATCTCTGCCCCTTGGTACTTTAAGAAAAAGTTATATAAAGAATAACATCCAGGAAATATTTTTCTTTAGATCTTGCCCAAACTACTTTCAGATATGATGAGGTGGCAATCTGCCTTATCTAACAAGCCTGGAAATGAGGAGTAAATGAGTCGATATCATTGGAGAACTTTGAAATCCTTTCTTTAAATGGCACTCATTTGTTTTATAGCATCGATGGGATGAAATTCAGCAAATTAAACTTGCCTTTCAATGTGGAGAAGATTGGAGTCTGTTAACTGATTATTTCTACTTGAACTTTCTCTTGTAGTTTTACTTCAAGCATCAATCGATTGCTCTGGGTGCTTTAAGTTTTTCTTTAACTGCCGTTTTCTGACTTCCATGGAGGTATTCTAGCCAACTAATACTTCTGTGGAAAAAGATGTTGGTAGATTGCAAAGAGCCCTGTCAATGCTCCCTATTCCATTCTGAGCTCTGACGGTGTCTTGATTTGTAGGGTGGGACAAAGCACTTAACCTTTGTGTCTCCAAAAGCAAATGATGAATTCTGTCCCATTTACACTGTTTATTAACAGATGGGAGTTGCACATGATTAACTGCTGTGTTCCCTCATGTCTTTGACCTTAAGATGTCTGCCTCACCAAGGGTTGGCTATGCGGAGATATGTAGCATGCAGAGCCTCAGAGAAGGTGATCAGCAAATGCTCGAGATAATAATGATAATGATGAAGCTCACTTGACTTCTCAACAAATGCCAGACTTCCCACAGGATAACAACCTGCGCAAGACAAGCCCTGTCTACTTTGAAGGACTGGAGGAAGCCATGTAAAGTGGACAAGGAAAGCGGGGATTCACCAAAGCTCAACATAACTCTACCATTTTGTCTAGCAAAGCCACTAATTATGAGTATGTTGGTTCAAAACCAAATGGCAGGTCAGATCTTTGGTGAATTCTTAACAATTAAACCAAGCAAGTGCTGTTGAAACTTGGCTACCAAACGCAGTGGGGATTCTTTGACCTGGCACAACCACCATGAATATCTCTGCAGTTGAGGAGAGAAGCAATGAAGTGATGAAGAGTTTGACCCTCCATTTTCCACTCCCTTTATGAATCTGTTTGTCAGGTTGCTTGTAAAATATTCCACATAGCAGCAAAGGATACTTCTTTATTCCCAGTGCCTGAACAGTTGAACTGCAATCTCCCTCTGTATTTGCATGTATTTCTGAATCCACTTGAGGTTACTGGGAAAGATTCAGGGCTTTCTCTATACCAGCGTTTTCCAAAATCTGTTCCACCCAATACTAGTTCCCCTAGGTGTTCCTCAAATTAGGATTCCTTGATCAAGTAAGTTTGAAAAATGCTTTCAAAAAATATGTTACTTTGGGCTGGGTATAAGTGATCAACAAGTCATTCAACACCCAAACTCTCATGGGGCATTGCATGAAGGAAGCTCAGAGAAAAGACAGAGAATGGGTCATGTAAGTTCTTGTAGACCATGATAAGGACTTAGCTTTCTTCCTGATTAGGACAGGCGGTCATTGGAACACTTTAAGCTGGGTTTACCCAGTGTGTAGTGGAATATTAAAATCTTTAGGAACTTCTGAAAGAAAGAAATCTGTAAAGCTTTGTTGAACCCAATCCTATGCCAACTTATTTGATGTCTAATACGTATTAACACACTGAGAAACACACTTTTGAACTTTGGGGAAGGAATTTTTTTTTTTTTTTTTTTTTTTTTTGCCCATTTTGATGTCCTTGCCCATTATGCTCCTTTAACATTAAGATACTGCTCCTGGCACAGAGCTTTCCCTGCAAAATTGTTCCAGTTTTTAACCTTGACCACTTCCCATTCCTCTTCTTTGTTCACAATGCTGTTATTGAATGCATTTATTTTTCCCTTCATGTTAGTTAGGGTAGGTTAAATGCTATAATTAGTAGACCTTAAAAATGTAAACTGCCATTGTGTATGACTGATACATAATCATTGCACATTATTTATGGGGACGACCTCATGTCTCAGTACATGAATAAATTGTGTAAGGGTGAGAAATTTATTTCTTCTTGATATAATAATGATATAAGGCAGGTGAATAAGTCAATAGGTATCCTTCTCCACATGGTTATTTAGGGACCCAGGCCGATGGAAGCTTTGCCATTTTCTTTTTTTTTTTTTTCTGTAACCCAGGCTGGAGTACAGTGGTGCAATCTCGGCTCACTGCAACCTCTGCCTCCCAGGTTCAAGCAATTCTCTGCTTCAGCATCCTGAGTAGCTGGGACTACAGATGGCTGCCACCATGCCCAGCTAATTTTTCTATTTTTACTAGAGATAAGGTTTCACCACATTGGCCAGGCTGGTCTTGAACTCCTAACCTCAGGTAATCCACTCTCCTCAGCCTCCCAAAGTGCTGGGATTACAGGCGTGAGCTACCATGCTTGGCCAACCATTTTCAATATGTGGTTTCCGAGGTTGCCCTGGGACTCGTGTTCATTCTGCCCAGACAGAAGAGGAAGAGAATCTCATATGTTTGTGCATGTAGGCGGTGGGGAGGGGGTGTTCTGGAAGACATCCAACAATTCTGCTCACTTTTGGAGCTAGAAATAGTCACATGGCTTCATTTAGATGCAAGGAGGTTAGGAAATGCGGTCCCTGTCATTGGGACATTCTACATTATGGAGGGTCTGCATGAAGTCTGTTGGACAGCAACCCATTTCTGCCACGACCTGCTATACTACCAGCTCTTTGAAGGACAAATGAAAGTTTTAAAACATTCATTTTTGTTAGCTTCATAAATATATCATGGTGTCGGCATAAAACAGATGTTTAATAACTTTGTTTAATTAAGCAGTAGTACATCTAAAACTTAAATATCTCAAACCAGGAGAATGAAGAAAGTTGTGGTGACTATCAGAAAACAGAGCAAAGCAGTTCTCATTGTATTTTTGTTCCATAAAGATAGGCATTTGCAGAGAAAGTGGTCAAATTTGAAGTTTAATTTTTCCCTACCTAAAGAAGGCCTTAAGCAAAGCAGAGGTGGATTTAATGATGGAGATGAGATTTTCAGTGGTTTATCTGCAAGTGAGAAAAGTTCCTTCCACATTTCTTCCTTGCATTTTTGGCCTGGAACCTCACAAAGCAGCCTAAATGCTGTCAGACATCTTCTGGGTCATAAATCATGACCAGAAGCATGGTGAGCGCTAAATCAATAGCGCTTCTAATTTTTGAAAAACTAGGAAGGTGCTTATGTAACCCTGCTGGGGAAAGGGAAGACCATTGGCAGCTTGCCTTGTTTATCCTGAATTGGATTCACGCTTGGAGGCCTCTCCGCTTCCTGGAAACCCCTTTGCTCAGATGGCACTGGGGAAAATGCTGAAATCTGCAATCCTTGGGCATCCAATTCCCTGTATTATCTTGTTCTAGCCATAGTTCATTCTGCAATTGGAACGGACTGAGGAGAGGTGTTTACAGTGTTGCACATTGTAGCATTGCTAACATTTTCTCTTCTGTAGGAGTGAGGAGGTAGGAGCTGGAAGAGAAAGAACATTTATCATATGGGACAATTTCCCTCCAGAATGTGTTCTTCTTACCTTTTCAGAGAAATAAAACACTTCTGGAGCCTATTTCCTAGGAAATTTAAATTCCTAACCCTTCATACTTCTATGATATGATCTTAAAGCAAAGAACATCCGAGCAAAAACAGCCTGTACTCCAGTCCTCTAAGCTTCTCGGTCTTGCCTGTTTATTATCTGCACCCAAAGTCTGCTGAATGCTCTGGGCTTGCTTTATCAGGGTGAAATGCTTTTTTCTTTGCAGCAGACCAAGGTGGGGAATGGCATCAGCAGTTTAATACTCCAGATACCTGGTCTATTGTACCAGTCCAGCAAATTTCAACAGAGCTAGATATCAAAACTGCCCTTCATGGACGAGGGAGAGTTAAGTGAGAGAGAGATAAAAAGATATGACATAAATGATCAAAGCAATAAAACTCACTGCTCAATTAGTCAGTTGGAGAGGCAGAAGATAGAGGGAATTTGTGGTTGAGGAAAAGTGTATATTTGCTCTGCAGGGATTCTATTCATTTCATAGTGTCACCCTAACCTTCTCAAGCATGCCGCAGAATTCAGGCTGGTTG